TATTCCTCAACTATGTGTTAAGTGCTTTTATAACATGAAGACTTAAATAAAATGTGACATATCCATACAATGGAATATTATTCGGCCATAAAAAAGAATGAGGCACTGGTACATGTTAATGACATGGGTGAGCCTTGGAAACATTACACTAAATGAAAGAAGCCAAACATATATAATCACATATTGTATGATTCCACTTATATGAAATGCCCAGAACAGGCAAATCCACATAGACAGAAAATAGAGCAATGATTGCCAGGAGCCAGGGGGTGGAGGAATGGGGAGTGACTGCTAATGAGTACAAATTTCTTTTGGGGGTGACAAAATGTTCTAAACTTAGATAATGGTGATGGGCAATCTTGCGAATGTATTAAAAACCACTAAATGGTACACTTTAAATAGTGAATTTTATGGTAAGCAAATTATATCTCATTAAAAAATAATAAGACTGAAGCACATATAACAGCACCAACAGTGCTCAGCATTATTCTAAATGCTTTCTGTATATAATTCATTTAACTACTGAAAGGGAGCAGAGTTTTACCACCCCAAAATATGCCTTTTTGGGGATATCCATTATATCAAGCTGGTTATTTTTAAGAAACAAAAGGCTCATGAAGAAATTTTGACTCCCTGCTAACTGCCTAAAAGAATTTAGATAGAGGCTCTGTTCCAGGAAGGGAGTTATCATACAGATAACTACAGTTCAATATGAACTAAGTGTGACAGACAGGGAGGAACCTAGCAAGGCCTGTTTGATCAAAGTCCTCTCTGTGTCCCATTGTTAAAGATGGCCCAGTAAACATCTGTCTCCATGTGAGTTGGTTTTCTCCCCTTTAAAGTCTCAAACCACAGACCCCTCTTTCTCTTTAGCTCAAGATAAGCACATAAGCCTTACCTGCCTGATTTGTCCTTGGGTCCCAGATTCTTATAGAACCCCCTTATGTACAAACATAATAAATTTGGTTATTTTCTCCTGTTAATCTGTCTTGTGTCAATTCAATTATTAGACCAGACAGAAGAACTTAGAAAGGCCTAAGAATTTTTCCTCCCCTACATTTTCATAATCAATGGACCTAGGAGGTAGGTACTATTACTATCATTACCAAGTGAGGAAACTGAGACACAGATAGGTTAAGTGACTTGCCCAGGTCACACAGCTAAAGCAAGTGATAGAGCCAAGAACTGAATCCAAGCAGTCTATCTCCAGAGGCTGCATGCACACTTAGCCACTACATTACACTACCTCTAGCTTGTAAATAATCTCAGGTGAGTCTTAAGCATATCAGTGAGATGAGTTTTCTTAACTCAGAAAACAAAAACTCAGATTAAGTAACATGTTCAAGGTCACACAGGTAGGAAGAATTAGAGGTGGGGGGAGGCAGGTTCTAATTCAGGTCTTGCTGATTCCAAAGCATACAACCCTATGTTACCTTCAGCTATTGCTACAGGCTGGGTGACTAGGGGATGAACTGAACTAGGCCTCCTCAGGATCTCGCACCTCAGCCACCGGCTGATGAATTGCGAAGACTGTTATTTTTCTTATTTACATTTTATTATGTTTATATTGCTTTCCAATTTTCCAATGATCTTTCCACCAAATAAATAATTGCATTAGTAATCAGAAGTTGAAAATTATTTTTCTCTGTATCTTCACAGAGACAAACCCATTTAATTCTAACTGGTATACATAAAAGTTACCTTTTATATTTCAATAAATATTGATTATCATATCTTTAGCTCACTTCAGTTAAAAAATTGGCCATGAAGGAGAACTTGGGAGTTTTTAAGTAGATGTCTCTTTTTCATTTTGGATTATGGAAAATTCATACACAAAAGTAAAATGGTAAAATAAATACTCATGTACTGATCACCTAGCTTCAACATTTATCACCTATAGATTTCTTATTAGCTAGGTCTCCAATTTATTAGTAGTACAGCCATGACTATATTATACTTTAGTACTTACTGGTTAAATAAATTTTTAAAAAGCAAAATGTTAATAGGTGTTTCTTGCTTATAAATTTATAGATAATTTACATTTTATCCATTTTAATTCTCAGTATCTTCCAAATTTTTGATGGTAAATATATAGTCCTTTTATAATTTTAAAAAATAAGTTATTTTAAAATAATAGAAAAACATATTTATTAAGGACTATATTTTCAAATGTTTAATCCCAGAGTCATTCTTTCTCTTGCTTAAAACAGTCAAAAAGGGGTCCTCCCTCTATGAGCCCATGTAACTCGCTAGGAGGGAGTGAAATAAAATTTGTTTTTAAACATTCTTTTTGACGGTAAGTTAGAATATTCGTGAAGCCAGTGAACAAAAGAATGAAAGAACCAAGCACTCAATAGAGCTGATGAACAGAGTTACCGTGGTTCTATAGCAGAAATGCTGAGGGTTCTTCTTTTCATGGGGACTTTTTCCTTAAGGAAAACCCACCCTAGCAAAAAAAAAAAAAAAAAAAAAAAAAAACCCAAATTTTAAAGCCAAATTTTCTTACTGTCTTTTACATTCCCTCAGCAACTCACAGCCCTGATGAATAATGAGGCCATGATTCCTAGGACCCAGAGTCAGTATCACTGTGCATCAGGGCTAAATTGTAGTAACAGTGACTCTAGAACATCACTCTGAGCTCAATGTTGGATTATTTCTTTTAAAAAGCCCCACAGATAGAGTGAGATGCAAGTCACACATCATAAAATTCCTGTTTTAAGTGTATATACAATTCAGTGTTTTTAGTAAATTTACATAGTCATACGACCAAGATCACAATATGAATTACTTTTTACAATCCTTCAGAAACTTCTGTTCTATTGCAATTGCAATAAAATTGCAAGTTCCAACTTTGCCTCTTACCCATGCAGCCAGCTATTGTGTGTTTATGTTATTATGTGTTTCATAACACCTGGGTGAGTCTTAGAGCTGTAGGTGGGAATAACTACTTCTCAAGCACACTCAATGCTATATTCTACCCTTCATAATTGCAGCTACAGTTCAAACAGCCTCTGCAGGGATTTAGAGGCTTAAAGCAGTATCTCAAACTGCTGAAAAACAGAGGTCACTTCAATAGATTTAGCAAGTTCAACAGGGTTGTTTATGGTATTATCAGCAATGCTGTCCTTAGACCCTGATGTGAAGAGCTCCTGCTCTGGACTCTGACCGCACCCTATACCAGATGTAAAGAGGCCATGGAGCTAAGGGGTTGTTAAATTAAAAAAAAAAAAAAATTAACTTCCACAGTTGAAAGTCTTTTTAAAAGAAAGGATTTATCAGCCCATTGCTAGGAAAAAAAAAAAAAAAAAAAGACCAGTCTTGGGGCATGAAGTCCAAACCACCAGCAGCATGGCTAGGTAAGAAAGACAACATGTCCATCATTTTTGCAAGATTTTTATACATCAGGTAGTGGGGAGAAAGATGTAAGCTGGTCTGAAAGGATTTCTATTAGCTGAAGACAAAGGGGATGGGAGGTGAAGCAGGAGCTAGTTGCAAGGAAGAAGGGTCCACTCCTGTGATTGGCTGTGGGCAGCACACTGGAAAGTTCATGTGCAAATAAGTGGAGGGTCCTGGGGTTCTGTGGAGTCTGGCTAGTCTCTCTTTAGGATAATTGGGGAAATAGCCACCTGGAAATTAATCCTAAATTCCAACAGATATACAGGAATATGAGCAGTCTTTTGTCAGAGCTGGTCCACAGGTTAACTGTTAACAGTTTTTCTCTTTCTCCAGCCGCTGTAATTTAATTTAGAACATCTCTGAATTTTTTTCTCTTCAGAGTTCTTGCAACCCTCCTCACTATTGCTGTGGTGTCCGGGACTCTGAATTCCCTTCCCATACAACTCCAAGCCTATTTCCCAGCCTTAGATCTGACCTCCCTTTAAGTCTGTCATGGGGGGTGACAGCTCACAGGCCAGTGGGTGACTAGAGCTTGCATCTGTTGTCTGGGTATCCACACACATGTGCAAAGCCCCTCATGGTGCAGGGTGGAGCCTGGGCTGAGAAGAGAAGGGTCTGGACTGAGGGCTGGTGTTGGCTCTCTCCACACCGTCACCTGCAGCACAGAATTCTGAGAGACGGAGAATTCTAAATTGAAGCCTGACCTTCAGGATGGTATATTTGTCAAGGCAGGAGGATAACACACTGTAACAGTTAGGCTGATATATAAAATGTTTCAATATTTAGACATATGGTATGTAGACCTCTGTTTATATTATTTAATTTATATGAAAAGTCCAGAAGAGGCAAATTCATACAGAAAATAGGTTAGTAGTTGCCACAGGCTGGGAGGTGAAGGGGCAGGTGTATAGTGCTGGTGAATTTGTACATCTCTGAAGTCTATGCATATTCCTATCTGTATGTGTCTTTACATATCTATATTTGTTTGTATACAAAAGTATGTATATATATATACACACACATGTATATATACACATATATATGAATTAAGATATGTAGTCATTTACTCTCTAAGTGATTGTGGGGCAGGGCGTAGTGGGGAGACAGGGGCTGGAGCACGAAGAAGATGCTAAAAGAAACTAAGAAATCATATTTGCCTTCTCTGAGCTTATGGTATAGTTTAGTCTACATAGGGCTAGTTATTTTGAATGGTATGTAATGTGATTCAACCATGCCATAACTACCTATAAACCGGGAGAATTACTTCCCTTCTCCAGACGTTAGTTCCTTAGTCTGTTCTGAGGGTTGAACTGGATGCCCTTTAAAGGTTTCATCCAGTTCTAACATTAGAACACCCTTTCAGCCGTGTTAGCTGGGCTCATGAGTAAAATAAAATCGTCCAATCAACACATATTTATTACGGTACCTTTTTGTGTGTAGGTGTATCTATGGAAATAAGAAGTTGCATTTTGATGAATTCCCGCCTCCAAGCATCAGCTTCCTCG